GACCCCTTTCGAACTGCGACTCGGGCTAACTGCAGATCCTCACTAACTTTCAAGAACTTCGACAATTCGCATCTTACGACATTTCCCATTCCAGATGGAAATGGTGATGCCAGTGGGTGGCCATCACCCCTTCCTATTCGATTCCGGGGACCATCTCGTCGGTCGTCTGCTCCCAGGTTCTGGCTATTTATTTCCGTCATCCATCAATCAGATCATCTACCCGCCTTCCATCGATCAGTTCATCTATCCCCCTTCCATCCATCAGTTCAGCTTTTTGTTACTTTCACCGGCCCCAAAATCCGATTTATTCTTAAAGCAAGTTGAAAAGATGTCTAAAACTCCTTCTCGTAATTCCAAGTCTATCAACGGTCATCCGTCTCAAAATTCAGTTCATTCCGACACGTCAGTTAGTTTCGTGTAGTCGTTAGGTGTAACAAATTGAATTGATGGAGGTTTTTTCTTGTAGGATCCAACCGCTCCGATTGGAAGATGTTCTTGATCCAAACACCGACGGTCTCACATCCGGTATAGGATCGCGAGATTCTTCCGTGGTGTTTGATTTCCGGCACGAAACTCCAGAAAAAAACGGTGGTAAGCAACCTTCCATCTTGGGTCCTTGGTCCATTCCTTACGCTGACATGGCTACTTTGACAGCTCGTGTGGCTGAAGTCGTTGGCCCCAAGTTAAGTGATCTCACGGTCACTTTTGGTTTGTACACGCCCGAAGCTTCAACTGGCCCGGTCAAGGCCAACTACAAGCCGAAATGGATCCAACATAAGTTCCCCGTGACGAAGCAACAATTCGATCTTGCGAATGGGTCCTTTGACGGTTTGAAAGCTCATCTGTTCACCATCGCCGACAAACTTCGCAACGACACCATAGGTGGCATGAGTGCCTTATTCAAAACGGCCGATGCGAACAAACAGCTCTCCGTCGGTGTATACATTTTCAGCCACTCTACGTATGGCAAGGGGAAGGGATGTGTCGTGACTTGCGACGATCAATTGAAGGCGTTTTTCAAAGCCGTCGGTGATACCCCGAGCCACGATGCGGGGATCATCTTGTCAATGGAGCATCCTGGAAAAGCAGCCCTACAAGTTGCTGGGGTAAGTGTTGCTTATCAAATCTTGGCCTGGCTTTTACTGACACACAAGTGAGCTGTTCCTTTAGGAACGTTCCCTGGCCCATGCGGTGTTGACAGCGACTAACTCTGTCAAAGAAGGGCGCGCGACTGGACACGACGAGCTGGCTCATTCGGATCCTACCTCCA